TGTCTGTCTATCATCTATCTATCTGTCTGTCTGTCTGTCTGTATGTCTGTCTATCATCTATCTATCTGTCTTTCTGTGTCTGCTATTGTTAGTTCTATAATAATAATACTTTCATATTATTCATTTAATGGTAGCACTTTACTATAAGGCTCAATTTGTTAACATTATTTAATGCATCTACTAACAATGAACAACATTCATTTTATTGCATTTATTAATTAAGGCAAGTATTTATTTGCAAATGTATTGTTTTTCATTGTTCATCTATATTTGCTCATAATACATTAATATTCATTCATACAAGTTGAATGATACCTAATGCATTAACAAATTTGAACCAATTGAACCTTACTGCAAAGTGTCACCATCATAAAATGTGTGTGTGATTTTGCATGAGAATGAAAAGTTTTGTTATACGACAGGAGGTGACGGGAGATTTGAGGTGGACAGGAAGAACGGTTATGTGCGGACGACAGGCCTCCCCCTGCAGAGAGACCGAGAATACCAGCTCACAGTGGTGGCTGCTGATCGGCAGGGCAGCCGCAATCCTCCCGCTGTAGTGTCCATCATCGCTGGCCCTAGAGCTCCTCAATTCACCAACGTGTCTTATACAATTTCCATACCAGAAAATACACCAGAAGGCCAACCGTGAGTAAATCCAAAACACACTCACATAAACACACACCCAATCTTGTAAATTACGCAACTCTTATTTCCATAGTGTAATTCTAGCACGCCCTAAATGCATCTCCCATGGCGTGAGAACACCGCTTATCCATCAGGGTAACAGATAGAAACAGGATCATGCTGCATTTACAGCCATCCGTGCGCCCTCTGCTTCTCGCTGGAGCGTAGCTTGTGTGAGTCATCGTGTACTACTTGATGCAAAATTCATGAAATAATGATCTTTGACTATGTCAGGGTACTGTGATATGCATTAAAGATGCATGAACATCATAACTTTGTTCTGCTCGTATAGACAGCCGTGAGAGGTTAACCATGCATTACACCAAGTAATGTATACAATAAAAGCCTCTCTTTTTTTGTAGTTTATTGTGTGTTTATTTTCATTTGCTCCCACATATAGATGACAAATGGACCCTTTATTACTTTGTCTTTGTGCAGTCAGTGTTAATAGTTTAGCCCTTTGATATTAGATGAGTCACTGAGAAATGACTTGCATGATGCTGCTACAGGGAAGAATGATTAGTTGTGCCCTACACAGATGTATTAAATCAGGCTTTGCCTTGTAGCAAATTATCCTAAATCCATGTGGAATAAGTGCCTACTAGATCCATTTATGGCAGCTGCATGTCATTAAATATGCGTTGCATGCTGCGGTGTATTATTTTCCTTATACACACCTGTGATTCCGCCATATTGTTGCTTTTATTAAACTTAGACTTGGCACCGACAGTCAGATCTTACTGAATGTGGTTGGCTTCATCCATAGCTATACAAAAATACGGTTAATGTTAGGATAAGTATATTGCTCATGGCACCAAAGTGGGGTGACGTTAATCTTATCCTTAAATGTTCTGGTCTCTGCCAGACAGCAGAGATAGACCAAGCCAACACGCAACCTCTGCCAATGGAAATGGAGTTGTAATAACCACAATACCTGAAAATAATTCACATTTACCTTTGTTCGTCTGCCTGTCTGCCGTTAAGCTTCTTTGGGATTACCAAAATACATTAATGTCAATCTTGACTGCATGATTATCAAAATTTTGCCTTTATTTTCTAGTTTCTGAATGTATCAAAAAACTGAAAAATGGCAAATTATGAAGTGAAAAGCTCCCATACATGAATGATATTATTTAACAGACTGTTTTTGTTTTTGAGAAAATCTCATAAAATGTTCAGTTATTTTCATATAAAATATTAGGCTATAGGCTTTGGTTAGTTACATAAGAAGAAGAAGAAGAAACTTATATTCTGATACCTGATCTTATCCCAAAGTTGTGTATCATTCAAATGATACACATAAACGATAAACGCCACTATAAAAAAAAATAACTGAGTGCCGTGCATTATTCTCCACATATAGCACAATCTGAACCCTAAACATGTTTTGTCAAAACAGCCGGTTTTGTCCACTTTCAAGGCACAGCGAGTTCACCTTTTACAGCAGAAGCCGACAAGTGCCATTGTTGTTTTTGAACAGAAGCCGATAAGTCAATTTTAGCGAATCAGCGCGCTGTATTCAGGTCAGGTGACAAGCCTGCTAGTCACTTTGAAAAAACGCGCTAACTGAGAGGAGTGTTGTCAAAGATGACTAAAAGTGATCGAGGATGGATAATTTTCAACAAACTTGATGAAGCCGTGATATCTTCTTCGGGGTGTAAAAGGAAAATTAAAGCTGAAACTTTTTCACGGAACCTTGCAAAAGCAGCGCGTTACAATGGTGAGGGAAAAGCTGCTCCCTGTATTGCGTGTAATCACAATCATACAGTCTATGATCACAACAACAACGTTTGTCAGACATCTACATTGTCAGCTGAGGAGATTACAAAGAATAAACGAGTGTTTTTGTTTAACTCTGAAACATGAAATGTGGAGTTATCTGCTTTTGCCAGTAAACGACTGTTGGAGTTATCTGCTTTTGCCATAGACCAATTTCAGTGTTTGGCAAACAGTGATGACGTTTTTTTGTGGGCAGAGCCTATCTGGTGGCATAAAATGCCAGTTTTAACGTAGTAGTGATGGGAAGTCCGGTTTTTTCCATGAACCGGTTCTTTCGGACAGTTCGTTTCAATGAACCGGTTAAAAAAAAACGGTTCACCGGTTCTTTTACGTCATCACGTAATGATGTCAATTCTATCATCCCGGCAAATGAAAATACATTCAAACACATTCAAATAAAGTAATTTGTAATCATAACGTAAGATAAATAGTAATAACCATCGTCATCATTATCTTGGATAAGTTTCTTACATTTAAGTTTTGCAAAAGCACCCAATACTGGCACTGATGCGTAAACGCGGATGTCAGATATGAAGAAAGTGAAGTCTTCATCAACTTTTTACAGAAACCGTAACAGAACCTTAACCGTACAGAAATCCAGCTCATAAAGCTTATAATATAACGTGCATACACAATAGTAAAGACAGTTCGTTTCAATGAACCGGTTAAAAAAAAACGGTTCACCGGTTCTTTTACGTCATCACGTAATGATGTCAATTCTATCATCCCGGCAAATGAAAATACATTCAAACACATTCAAATAAAGTAATTTGTAATCATAACTTAAGATAAATAGTAATAACCATCGTCATCATTATCTTGGATAAGTTTCTTACATTTACGTTTTGCAAAAGCACCCAATACTGGCACTGATGCGTAAACGCGGATGTCAGATATGAAGAAAGTGAAGTCTTCATCAACTTTTTACAGAAACCGTAACAGAACCTTAACCGTACAGAAATCCAGCTCATAAAGCTTATAATATAACGTGCATACACAATAGTAAATAGTAATATTCAATTACATGTTTTGACTGAACAGTTGTTGCATGTTCATCATGTTAAAATGTTGTTTAATAGTTGCATCTGCACTTTCCAGTAAGTTTTATCTGTTAAATAAACTTAATTCGGTCAAATTCGCCCCCCTCATTCAAGTCCTTGGTTCACTCGCGCTCATAATATCAGCACAGCATCAGTTTTAGTTTCACTCAGTATCTCAGTATCTCCAGCTCATCGGTTCTCAGTATATCAAACGTGTCCGAAAGAAACGGTTCTCGAACGTGTCCAAAAGAAACAGTAGCCCCTCACTACAGAACAAAGATCCAGGGGGCAGTGTTGGATCCATATCTAGGGGGTGATTTAGGGGTGGAGATGGGTGGGTTTAGGGATCAGGGGGTGGAGACGGGTAGGTTTAGGTATATGTAAGGTGGGAGGAGTTGGATCTGGATCTAACCTCGCCCCCTGTATCTTGTGTTCTGCAGTGAGGACCATCTCAAAAGAAACGGTTTTTGGTTCAGCATGTTTCAGTGCTGTTGGAGTTACAGTAGTAACGAATACTCTGAGATATTGGTTTATTTCTCATTTGGTGAACCGGTTCAAAAGAACGATTCGTTCGCGAACCGGACATCACTATAACGTAGCAGTCTATACAGAAGCCATGGAATAAAAGAATAAAAAAGGTAATTTTGAGTTTATATGTCAAAATTCTTTTGACTTTTTTTGTGCAATTCCGAGATTATAGCTCACAGTTCTGGTAAGAAAAATCAACTCGTCATTCTCTCTTTTCCCCTCAGAATCATGAGTTTATATCACACACTTATGGCTTTTTTCCCTCAGAATGGACAAACTCGCAATTGTTGAGTTGAATCAAGTTATAAAGTCTGAACTAGGAGATATAAACTTGCATTTGCAAGAAATAAAGTCAGAATTGTGAGATAAAATAGGTAAATGTCATGTAAAATGTTATAGGTTTAAATAGTATTTCATGCTTTAACTGTAGGGGTAATACAATATGTCCACTATGTAAATATTATGTAGATCTATTGTTTAAATCAAATGTATGCTTTACAAGTAGGGTAATCATAGCAGGTTTCATCCATAGTTTGTCCATTTAAACGTCTGCGTTTAGCTTCAAATGGCGTCTTTGATGACAGTATTATATAAAAATGATATAAGGCAAAGTCATAACAATAATTTTTTTCTCTTATTCCATCGATTTTACCCGATTACCTCCACTTGTCACCAGTGTTTTTGTGCCACCACAATGGGTGCACAGCTGCATGCAGGGGCGCAAATTTTGTCTAACAGTAGGGGGGGACAATAAACATAACATTTCTCAAGAGCAATATTTGAAGGGGACACAAGGCGTAGCATATTTTCTTAGTGATAGATGCTATTTACACTAAGTGAAAATAGCAGTATTTGTTTTGTGATATGCTAATTACACTAAGTGCAAATAGCTATTTATACTATATTAAAATAGCAGCATATTCTGCTAATTACTTATTGCCAATAGTGGCAATTATCTGCACCTCAGCATTGTAATACATTATAAAACAGTATGCAATAATAACTTATTGAGTGTAAATTTTAATTTTAATTCAAATTATTAAATGGATGCCACCTTATTGGGACAAAAGCCCTCCCTACACCTACCCTAACCCTACCCCTACCCCTACCCGATACTTTTTCAACTTTGATTATTTCCTTCATTTTTATTTTAAAAAAATAAAGGCTTTTCTGATGTGACTGCAACGCAACTGTAATGTTCCCAGGTCCAGAAACGTAGTAAGGACATCGGTAACACCGTCCATGTGACATCAATGGCTCAACTTCAATTTTGTGATGCTACGAGAATACTTTTTGTGCATAAAGAAAACTAAAATAATTACTTTATTCAACAATTCTTTTCCCCAGAGTTACCGTCTTCCGCCATTTTAGAGAGTATCACAATGCATGCGCACGCTTTCCCCTAAGCATAAACAACGCTAATTACGCAGATTACGTTCATGCGCGCACTTTCCCCCTGAACGTAAACAACGCTGATTTCGTACTTAGGGAACTCTCCAAAATGGCGGAAGATGTAACTCGGGGGTGAAGAATTGTTGAATAAATTATGTTGTTTTTGTTTTCTTTCCGCACAAAAAGTATTCTCGTAGCTTCGCAAAATTGAAGTTGCACCACTGATGTCACATGGACTGTTTTGCCGATGTCCTTGCTACGTTTCTGGACCTGGGAACATTACAGTTGCGTTGCTGTCTATGGGAGGGTCAGAGAGCTCTCTGATTTAATCAAAAATATCTTAATTTGTGTTCCGAAGATGAACGAAGGTCTTACAAGTTTGGAACGACATGAGGGTGAGTAATTAATGACAGAATTTTCATTTTTGGGTGAACTATCCCTTTAACAGTTTAGCTGAGACGCCATTGGTGCACTTATCGTTTTATTTAACCCATTCTTCTTTTCTTTTATGTTTTTTTCATTTGTAGAACACCATAATCAATTAGAGTCAATAATCATAATTGATTACACAATAATCAGTTATCGTCAACCAGGTTGTCTCTCTTTTTGTCTTTTCTTATTTAGCTTCCTTGTCACTCCAGCAGTGTCCTTCCAAAAACAGCCAGTATCTTACAGCCTGCTCATCAATCCCAGCAGTCTTTTCAACATGCAGCCAGAGACAGGGGAGATCAGCCTGACCCGTACTATAGACTATGAGAGTGACCAGCACCGTTACCTGCTGCTGGTGCGGGCCAGTGAGAATCAGGACAGTCTCAGCAGTGCTGCCGAGGTGAGTGCTCTCATATGCTAATGATTGATTTATTTTGTAGCTTTAGTGCTTACATATTTGATACATAATATATATTTTTGTAGTTTTTTTAGAATTTTAATTTCTGTATTTCTAAAACATCAACATTTTTATACAGCTTTACAGATTGTGTTCAGAGTTTGGCTAGAAAATGGTTCATTATCTCTTGGTTCACAAGACTATCCTTGCTTCCAGAGTAAGATCTAATGAGTGATATATAAGAAGTTTTTGCTCTTAATGAAAAGTATAGTAGTGGAAATGTATTCATTAGGTAGTTTATGGGGAAAAAAAACATGAATATTACAGTATAATGACTGGCAAGAAGACTGCTGAAAATAATCTTCAGTATTATGTATTTTTCGAGGGAATTTGACTTCAATAGAAATGTAATAGATATAGCAGTTAAATAAACGTGTAGTGGAAAAAGGTGACTGACGATATCTGCAGTAACAACTGTTATAATTTTTCATCATAAGTGATTGTTTGATGGTAAGTGATTCATGTCATTCACACATCCACAGACAAATACTTGCATGATTTCAAGGACTTGTATGATTTTGGCTGTCCATTCACATACATTTTTAATGCAAAAACTATGTGGTTTGATATATACTGTATATATATATATGTATATATATACAGTGGGGAAAAAAAGTATTTAGTCAGCCACCAATTGTGCAAGTTACACTGTGTCAGAACAAATTCAGCTTGATAATGTCAGATAACTTTGCGTGAAAGGTATGTAGCCTAATGGATTACAATAAACCAAAAATTATTTATACAGCTGTCAATATTTACACAACTATCAATACTTTGTCAGGTGACCCTTAGCCTTAGTGACAGCCTGTAGTCTCCTGGGCATGCTGTCAACCATCATGCAAACCTGAACTTCAATTTTTTCCTGAATAATTTGTGGTCCCACATTTGTATCAATTTTACTGGTAGTCCACTGTATGAAGAATTTTGGGGTATAACATATCACAGTTTAGTTTATTTTGCTATCCTCACTTAATACATAATACACATACTGGTAAAAAATGTATAGCCTGAATGCACTGTAAGTCACTTTGGATAAAAGCGTCTGCTAAATGCATAAATTATTATAATTAATTAAATGATAAATTACATAAATGAACTATAGTGTCCTACACCTACTAGTAAAAAAAATATAAAAAATGATATCTGGTCTCTGAATAATTTTTGGTTTGTCTGTATATCCTTCTGTTATTTTCACACTTAATTATGCCCATTAAAATGTATTTTACAAGTTTTTGTTACTTTCACTGTTCATTTTTTTCTCTCTCTATGGTAGCCTACATCATCTTTAATTTAATAGCATTAGAGCTGCTCCATTGCAGCGGCTTAGTACTGTAATCACGCGCTTTGCTGTAATAATGCAGGGAACCACTCGTTATAAATCTCCTAACTGTGATCTTTTCAGAAATAGAAGTCGCGTTTTTTTTCATCTGAAACGTGCAGCGATTTATTTTGCAAAGCCACTCATATAATGCAGAAACACTCATGAAGCAAAACAAGCGCAACGCGCACACGTATTTGTACTGGTGCAGAATGAGAGGGACAAGTACAGTACAGCCTAGCGCATTTCACACAGGCTGTTAGTTTCACTTTAGCCAGAAAGTCGTGTATGCTTAAGGGTAAAAATAAATGACATTTATTGTGAATGCCCCTATAAATTGTCTTATATTTACGATTTAGTTTTAATGCAAATGATGCGTGCTAAGTGAGCGAACATCAAAGATCACACAACAGAAGTGCGCGCTCTCTCTCTTTCCCTACCATTAAGTAACTTGTGCATTGTTTTACTTGCTTCTTTTTGACATATCCGACCAAACTACAAACTTTCCAGTGATGTCTGTGAGAAAGGGATATTCACTCGACAAGCTCGCGCATCTGCGCCACCGCGCGCTCAATCCACTCAGAGTGCTTTGCTTTCCAGCTGGCGCAAATCAGCTATACAGGCATTAATACTGAATGTTTTATATTCATTGCATACATATACTTCGTAGACATCTTTAATCTCTAATAACTCCATTCTGCTGTCTAATGTCGGTGTTTCTTTGTCTGAATATTGCACTTATCACATGCTGTGTGGTATCGGCGTTTGGTATCGGGGCATTTTAACGAGTACGAGTACAGGAGCTCAGTAACGGGCCCAATACCGATACCAGTATATATATATATATAGACAGACAGTTTGTTTTGTTTTTAATAAGGGATCACAGCTACTAGGATAAAATTAATTACTATGAATCCCTGTAAAAACGCATGTTAGACCAACAAAATTCCCCTCAATTTTGTCACAAACACAGTTGTCTGAACAAACAGTTTCATATTGCATTGTGATTTGCAAGCTTCCAGCATTGCAGGATGAATAAATTATGAGGTTAGTGTGTTATAATCTTATTGTTTTATCACTTGCTGGCATTATTTATGTTGCTGTGCTTTTTTCCCCAAACCACTGTTTGTTATTTTTGGTCACTGTTTGTTACTGTGTTTAAGATCTGTGTGTTAAATGTGCGCTCATTTCAATTTTAATATTATATATAAACTTCACTTCTATTTTAATTAAGGTAGACTGTTGATCATATTCATGTTATTTATGCTTTCCATTAAAATTTTGGTCCCAAAATTTGGGTTGGGAAATGTAAAGGCAACAATTTAGCTGAAATCAAAGAGATGCCTAGCAGTCCCGTTCATTCCTTTTACAGTAACATTCCCCTGGAGGATGTAGTCTCGCCTCATCATGACTTGATCTGGCTGCTCAGTGATCCATACATCTGTCCTGGCCTGAGGCAGGCCAGCCAAGATCCAAGCTATTAGTTGGGGAAATGTCACAAAACAATGCAGCCACTGTGTGACTAACTGCAGATGGGGAGCAAGAGGGCATACAGACAAAAAAATACACTAAAAGACTGACAGACCCTTTTGACTTGAAGAGTCCCGTGAGATGTGGTCCAGAGAGCAATTTGCCTGTTGCATACTCTGCATACAGCCACACCACAGCCCATCTGTCACCCTGAAATCACTCTATAACTCTTCTCACATAAGTTTCTGGAGACCCCGAACACCTGTGCTAAAGCACCAGTTACAACAAACAAAACAAACACGGTTTAAAATGACATAATTAACCATGTGCAAAATGAACAGGCTTTAGAGTCAATAATTATGGCCCATTCAGTCACAGTTGTTAGGTTTCGCACAATCATGGACAATCTGAAAACATCAGCGATATTTGTAATGTCTTCCAAGCCTGAAAAAGCCATGGAAATTTCTGCATTGGATATATATTTTCTATTTATGATCTGCTATAAAAATATGTTTTTGAAAGAAGTGTCTTATGGCGTTTGTTTGATAAAAAACTCTAAAAACGATAATATTGTGAAATATTATTACAATTTAAATGCAATTGCAATTTTAATGTAATCAATTATTTAACATTTATTTTAGTTAATTTAAAATGCAATTTTTAATGTTTTCTATTATATATCGTATTATTATGGTTGTTCATTTTGTGTGTTATAAATAAGTAAAAAATAAGAAATTAATAAGTTACTTAATTTAATAACAATAATAATAATAATTTTGAATGGTACTGTATTTAACCCTTATCCAGTAATCACAAGCTGCTGGACAGATTGCACTAAATTGAATCATATTTGTACTCCCAGACTGTATCAGTCATATCAAATCTCTTTTGATATAATATCTTTGGTTATCATTGGTTTTACTATCAACAGAATAACCACTGAGAGTAAAACTTAAATAAAACCAGACTCTGAACAGTTACTGAGATCACAAAACTTTCCCTCAGGGATCTTCCTGTCTTGTAGCTCTTCTTTTGATTTAGCCTTATATGAAGGTATTTTATTTCTTGTGATTTTGGATTATGGTCTCTGTTAGTGCTAGAAATATGAGTAACATTGTAGACTCTGAACTGTAGTCACAATTTTGACCATTTCCGACTCTGCCTGTCTATTTTAATCTTTCCAGTTTCTGAAATTGAAGTGAGTAGGTTATTAAAGTCACTTAGCAACTGCCAGGAAGCTTGAGCAACAGTGTCAGGGCAAAAGCACTCACACAGTGTTTTTCCCTCCTCCAGACAGCAACTTTCATAAGATTGCTTAATTCAGTCTTATGGGAGGCATTAGGTGCCTCTTTCAGCTTCCCTGATGCTTTTGGAACAAATCGGAAAGAACCATAACATGCCCATGTGATACTGGAGGACGTTTGTCCTTTTGTGTTGAGATTTGCTACTTCACTACTGAATTTTCAGGCACAGATGCTTGGTTATGTAAGAACATAACTGCTTGACACCAAATAATTTTGCAGTGGGAAAGGGCCAAGATAAAACTGGATGATGGTTATAAGGAGTGATAGGATATGGCCTTTAATGCTTGTTAAAAGAACTTATTTGGCAAGGTGTTTTTGAAACGGCAGCAGCTTCTCAGACTCTAAGAAACACTTGGGGCAGTCATAGTGATGTGCTAACTTACAGTATTCCCTGATAATAATTCACAAATCAAGATATTATGATCTGCCCATTTGATCCCTTAACAGTACTCACCATTCTATTTTTGTGTCTTCTGGCTTCTTCTGTGTTTCTCACAGGTGAGAGTGATCATCATGGATGAGAATGACTGTGTTCCAGAGTTCCAGCAGTCCATTTATAGCAAAGACGGTGTCCCTGAGACAGTCACGACCGCAACGTCACTTCTGCAGGGTAAGGCTGTGGACCTGCACATCAATGCACCATAGCCATTACATACAGTAGTAGAAAGACCCAGTGTTTATTTTTATGCAATTCATTTTAGCCATAGTTTTAGTCATGCTTTTATTTTTTTGTAGAAGCAAATACCATTTGAAACCAAATATTCAAATATCTGATATGTTAATTTAAACATGCATGCATACTAGGGCTGTGCAAAAAATCTAATGCGATTTTCATGCGCATCTCGTCAGTAAGCCGCTTCTGTGATTAGTAGTAAATCTCCAGCATGTGCTTTCAGATGGAGAGGCATTTACTACACAGAGCCGTAGATCACTGACAAGCTACGCAAAATCGCTTTCAAAATTGCAGGCGATTCATTGCCGATTTTGAACCCGATTTTGCGTAGCTTGTCAGTTTTTTTAGATTTACTACTAATCACAGAAGCGGCTTTACTGACGAGATGCGCATGCAAATCGCATTCAATTTTTTTGCACAGCCCTAATGCATACTTACGTACATACAATCTTGTGAATATCAGGTTCATGCAAAATTATAATTTTGTTGTAATACAATAGATTAGTGAACACATATTCACTATTAACTAGGAGTTGGTCCTTAATAAACACCTAATTTGCTGCTATTTGACAGTTTGTAAGGTAGTTGTTGTAGTTATGTTTAGGTATTGGGTAGGGTTAAGGGATCAAGAATATGGTCATGAATTAAATGCATTATAAGTACTAATAAACAGTCAATGTGCTAGCGATGTGCATGCTAATAAGAAACTAGGTAATAGTGAATAGTGCTCCCTATTCTAAAGTGTTACCCAATACTGTAATTCGTTTTCTATTGCTAATGTTTTAGTCAAGAAGGTTTTAGTTGCTGTTACAAAAGGAGTATACTAACAATGTGACTTTGTTTCACACTTATGTCATTATGTGCAGATGCTGTAATATTATGTTGCATGACTTTTACCTCAATAAACTCCTAATTTGCTGCTTATTGATAGTTTGTTTAGGTAGAGTTTAGGTATTGGGTAGGATTAGGGATGTAGAATATGATCATGCAGAATATGTGCTTAAGTACTAATAAACAGCCAAAAGGTTAATAATATGCATGCTAATAAGCAACTTGTTTATAGTGAGAACTGGTCTCTATACTAAAGTGTTACCATTTAATTGAGCAAGGATGCATTAAATTAATTAAAAGTTAAAGTTAATACATTTATAATTTTACAAAAGTTATGTTTCAAATAAATGCTGTCTTTTGAACTTACTATTCATCAAATAATCCTGAAAAATGGAAAAAATCCCATGCAAAATGGTTTCCACAAAAAAAAGGAAATGATACAACCAGGGGTGTAGGCAGCATACGTGCATGATGGGCACAGGCCCACCCACTCTGATGAAAGCCACCCCCCCAGTTTATTATACAAATATAATATTTGTTAAATAATTATTGTTATTTTTTTGTATTAATCTATTTTAACACAATTAGAGAACTATTATAACATCGGAAATAACTAAAATAAATAAAATGTGTTTTTGCATAATTCTTGATGAGTTTGATTGACAGCTGTGTTAGGCTATTAGGTGTTATCCAGGCTGTTTCGGGCATGTCGCGCCTGTGAATTTGTGCATGTTCACCCATTCAGTTGGACTGTAATTTGCAGCTGTGTGTTAGAAAATGTTAGAAAAACAGCTGCAATGCATAATTCTGTAAAAAAAGACTTTTAAAAACTCGCACTGATGAGGGAGAGAGCCCTTCAAAGTCGTTTGGTGTGCGGTGTCTAAAGAATTTAAGACCAGCTGTTGGCAGTCGTCCTTACGAAGATTAGCCTAATTATTATTTTTTTTTTTTTAAATAATTTTTGTGACTGACGCCGGTGATTAACTGCACCTGTTTCCTAATTTGTAGGCCTATTAATTTCAATAATGAATTAACAAATTTAAAAAAAATCACAAACATGATATTTCTGAATAAAATTATTTTATACACTTTAGTTATATCTAATTTGGCATTTTCAATTAACATAGGCCTGTTACATTCTTCTTATTAGCCTATTATGCCTTTTATTATTAGGTTACTTTTGTTATTAAATTAATATTACAATTAATTTGCCCCGCACTAATTAATAAATTAATTAATTTCATAATGCATCACTGCATAACTGACGCGCTGCGAGGATAATAAAGATTAGGCTAGCTTACTCCTCACTGAAAATGTTTTTTAAAAAGGTCTTTCAAAACAGGTTTATTATACAATGAATTATAGGCCTATAATTAAAATGAACACCGCAATCATCAATGAAAAAGCTTTATTTCAAACACCGACTTTTAAAAAAAGAAAAAAACAACAACCTGTTTAACACAAAATATGTTTCTTCTCTCTTTATTTACTTTTTTTATTTATTAATTAATAATTTTTTTCCACTAGCCTATGTTCGGGCCACAAGAGAAATATTAAGGGAGTAAATTAAAATATTTATATACCGTTATCAGCATATCAAGTAGATGTGTCTCTCGTCGTCTCTGAGAGAATATGCAGAGTTAATGCAGCGTCAGTTTTTACTTTCACTTTCTAGTGAATCGACTGAGATTAAAAGGTTCACTACATAACTCTTGCGCAAAGTTTTCATGTTGCTTGTGTGATATCCATTGGCTCGCCTTACTGTTCCAAACAAATATTTACAATATTGCGACGTAACCAGCCTCCCCACCCGCTCTTGAGTTCGCGGTTGGGGGCCGCGGATTTGCGCTACTGGACTCCGTCCGTTAGTTAGCCTTGTGCCCGCTCACTTTTGCCCAGGCCCGCCCAAAAATTTAATTCTTCATCCGCCACTGTATACAACAATTTTCAAAGTTGTTAAGAAATGTTTCCTGAGAGCTAAATCAGCATATTTTAATGATTTCAGAAGGATCATGTGACACTGAAGACTGGAGTAAAATTCAGCTTTGCTCTCACAGGAATAAATTACATTTTGAAATAATATAGAAAATGCTTAAAGGGGTCCTGTTATGCTCTTTTACAAAGTCTTGATTTTGTTTTGGGGCTGTACTAGAACAGGCTCTCATACTAGGTTGTTCGAAAAACACAATATTTTTCACATATTTTACATTATTACAACACCTCCCTCCCCAGTCTGGCATGAACGGCTCAAATAGTTCCTGTATCAAATGAAGGCCCGCCTTCTGAAATACGAAATGTGCTGGGATTGGTTAGCTGGGCCAGTGTGTGCTGTGGTTGGCAACGCTCGGCGCCTGGTCGGGAAATGTCATGCCCCTTACCATAGCTGCCTGCCAGCTTCAGTGTAAATATTGTGTCAAAATCAAATCAATTTGAGCGCAATTTAAACCTGGATGATTGCAAACACTTTAAGTTTGTCTGCCTTGGGAAAGCTAGCGCGTCTCCGACATAGTGATAACACTCGTTGCCTTCTCTAGTGCAGCTCAACCAGGTCTCAACCCATTCGTCGATATTTGTGATATCACAAATCCCGGAAAACATGTTGTAGTCCAAACGAGTCTTTCGTTGTAGTTTTTGAAAAGTGATTTCTGTTAAATAAAATATCTCCTTTTGAAGTGGACTTTGATCTTTGTAACTTTGCAGATCTTTATCATGGTCAAACAGCAACATTACAGACTAAATAAAGTTGAAAACGTTAAAAAGCATAATAGCATCCCTTTAAATTGTAATATTATTTAACAGTATTGCTTTTTTACTGTATTTTTGATCGAATACATGAGAGAGAGAGAGAGAGAGAAGAAAAAACTTTAGAATGGTACTGTTTATGCTTGGGTTATTTAGCACTTCAGTTTACTGGTGTTCATTTACTGCTCCTGCAGCTCAAACATGTAAATCCACAACGCTATTGACTTTCAATGGGTTGTATAACAGTCATATTCATTCTAAATATATTATCCTGGTGTGCACTTTTATTTCCCAAAAATTGTGTGTAAGATCAGCCAATCAGATTAGTTATTTCCAAAAATTGTTTTCTAGTTTTGCATGCGGTATGCGTTATGCATCAGACAGTCCATGAGCAGGCTGTAGTCGACCTGTGAGACTGTGAGACTTTGCCATGAGACTCGTATGCCCTTAGAAAGTCTATTTCTCACAAAGACCAAGACAACAAGGTGATAAGATGCTCTCTTCTTCCTCTATCATTCTGTTTAACACCACCTTTGAAGCACTTCTCCCCTGATGTGCCCTTTCATGTATCTAAATTGCACATTGAATCTGGAGTCTATGTACTAACTCCTGCGAGTGCACTTGTAACACACAGAATGGAAAACACATGCCCTCAGCCATGATAAGAAGAGCTTTCATATTCTCATTAAATTTTAGACAACCACAGCTGCTATCAAAGCACCACAGAAATAAAGTGATGGACAAAACAACAACTGCAGAGGACAGACCGACTGCCTATGCAGACACAACGGCAAACAAAAGAGAACAAAACAAACAAACACTGGAAAGTTACCGTGATTAAAAAAAAGCACTGCTGGTCCTGGAGAATAACAGGTCTTGGCAGACATTTTGACAGCTTAACACTGAGGCTCCTGGCAGAATGGGAAAGGTGATGCAGCGAGGTGTACAGCAGATGTGCTGATTAGCAGGTGCAAGCCAACTAGCATCTGCACACCCGTCTGTGTGGGCTTCATAACAATTATCTCCACCGAGCACAAAATATCCTGCTTGCTCAAGTTAAGCCTAGAAGAACAGAAGAGAGCCTACTTTTCAAGAATAATTTGTAACATGTGGCTACTTATCAAACATTCATAATGAATGAGATGGACAGTTTATAATTTAAACATCTGGGAGAACAGTCATTTTCGTAATGAATGGGGTTTGCTGGATTTTATTGCTGAGGGTCCACTTCAACTGTAGGTACAGCAGAAGATTTGGACTCAGCCGATGTATCAATATGGACTTATCCTATTTAATTTATTGTCTTTATCTTACTATTATTCTCCAATGTTGGAATTTGCCGCAGTAGATGGAAGTGAGTGGGGTGGAGGGGGATTCGGGATCTGCCACAAGGACTTGTTAAGTGTGATCTGGAGGACACAGTCTCACATGGTGCAGTTGGGATCTCTGCAAAGTCTGTCACACTTCTAGAATTACACAAACTTAATTGAAGAAACTGTAAGAGAACTAGAGGGTCAATAATGTAAGCCATCAGTGAAAGTGCCTTTAAAAGATCACTGGCCAATTAACATATTGGAAGATATAAAATACTTATTACAGTAGTGAACTTGTACTGTAATATTAGTTTAGGAGCTCAAGTTTTCCACAGCTAGGGCAGTTTTTATATTGTTAAATGCTGAAACATGATTAAATATATGTAATGTGGTTAAATGTTTAATTTTACACTCTCTCGTAAACTAAAATGTGACCGATGCTGGCAAAATGAGTCAGAATGCTACATGCAAAAAAAAGTGAAAAATGTCGATTTTAGTCGAATTGGAGGTTTTCACAAAAATGAGTTCATTAAGCCCGCATCTAGTGATCCAAATGCTCCAAATAGTAATTAAGCATCTAAAATTATGGGTATTTGTACGTTGTCTGAGGGGAGTATCTTTTCTCCACTTGCTTCTCGTGCTGAATGTCATCCGAAGCGCCCGCATGAAAGATGCTTCCGACTAGGGATGTGCGATATATTATCGTTTGCGATATACTGGTAAAAATTCTCCACACAATAAGAATTCATCTTCCCGTGATAATAACGATAAAGTCTAGTTGTTGACAAGTACAGTGCGACAAAAATCGGTCTGAGCTTTGAGTAAATGTACTACAGTAGCACGTGTGCGATGCAGTTTTACACATGTATGAGTCGTTTACAAACCTGTTGTCCAACAAAGATATTTAAATTTATTGACATGCTTTTTCTCCATATTAACTTCATAACATAGTCGAGTATTTGAAATAACTTATTTTTGAGATCAGACGTGGTTTCGGATCACAGAATAAGGCCGAAATCATACTATTTTATAGCATTATATACAGTGATAAAGGGTATGTCGATTAGCATTGCATTATAAATATACTTTATCCTTATAAAAAATACCCGAGATTGCTTGAAGAACACAGATACCATAAATTTTGTGCAATCGCATGTTTATTGTCTTCAGGTTTCCTCAGTTAAAATTTCTTTATCTGCATTTTATTCAGCTACAGCAATCACTGGATACTTTTTCCTGGAGCATTACTTCTACTATGCATATGTGGAGTTTCTGCGCAAGGGCGCCCACCTGCTTCCAGTATGAATTAAACAGTCGTTTATCATTACATGTACTCAGTAATGCTCACAACACCCTATTTTGGGTAAAAATAGGAAAGATAATACTTTTCTAAAGAAACAGGATTCCCTAAATTATCGTCATTGATATCATTATCACAATAAATATCAGAAATTACCGTGATATATTTTTAAGCCCATATCGCCCATCCCTACTTCTGACTGCGCCCGATCCCTATAAATATACACACATACACAGAATTACAGTATTTCAGTTTGCACGCAACCATAATCTGCTATCTCTTAAGTGAACGTTTGTGGAACTGTTGGGGGAAACATCTGATGTAACATTATATTAGATCCGTGCATTACACTACATCTTAATAAAGGCCGTCGGTCTCATTAATGTTAATCTAACAATAAAAGAGGGAATCACTTGCTGCTCTTGATTAAACTGCTTTTATAGTTTTAATAATCAATTTATTTGTAATGAACACACTGAAGTGATTTTTACATTTGATTATTTGTTTTTCTTACTGGAATGTTTTTGTTTAGATGTAAAATGGAAAAGGTAATGCATTATTTGTTTCTTTCTTATATTTGTTCTACTGCTTTTTTTTGCATATGTTCTCCATCACCTGTGGGCTTTCACATTGAGCAGCATTAACTACACATAGCCGTTGTTCACTGAAGAGCTGCGCAAAAAATCGCGCGAATATGAACGTGGTTTTGCGCAGCTCGTCAGTGAACAACGGCTCTGTGTAGTTAATTCTGCTCAATGTGAAAGCACGCACATGATGGAGATTTACCGCTGATTACAGACCCGGCTTTACTGATAAGATGCACGTTAAATATCGCATGCGATTTATCGTGCAGCCCTAGTTCTTATATATAATAACAAAGATAACATAAAAATAGCTGTATTGTGATTATTAATATAGTAATTGTTATTAAGAAAAGAAGTGGAGGAAAATAAACAGTGTTGCTAGGTGATTTTGCTTTGGAACCTTCAGAAAACTTTATCTTGATTTTTCTCGTAATTACGTTTGCTGAAACTGTCAACTTAGCTCAGTCATTTTTTGTCCAATTCCAACAAAGCATACATCATTTTGTTGGTCTTTTAATGAAGAATGTGAAATTAAAAATAACACATTTTTTGAAAATGTGCTCATTGTGACTCATTTTGCCAGCACAGGTCACAAATGTTATTTTCATTTATAAAATCAGATGCCACTATAGGCAGATAGCTTACTGTTGGATTTTCAGTCAAATTTGGACAACATGTATCAAATTAGGCAACGTTTTTAAATAACTGCATTTACAGTAGTGTATAACATACTGTATATTAACAGATACAATCTTGTATGCAATTGATCCATTCTGTTCATGTTGTTCATAATATACTACTGAAAATGTGTACTTTACAATTCAGCAGAAATTGTTGGTTTTCTAAAGTGCAGAATCAGGGAAACTGGACCTCAGCTCGAGAAATATTTACCCCTTTATGTCGACACTAGTTGAGTTGATGTGCAAAGCAGCTACTGTGTATGCAGTGCTGTATTCTGAAGTTCATTTGAAACAGGCTCACACCTTATTGAACGCCATTGCATTTTACTGTAGTTGTCAGATGCAATAAGACTCACAGCTTGGGATCTTTTGATTGCCAGTCATGTATAATCATTCTAGTCATTCATTTGACAAGTGCATATGCCCAAGCTATTTACACAGGGAAACTCAAATAAAGATTGATCCTATTAGCTGATGCTGCATTTCTTGGTAGTGCAACTTCTTTGTTTCAACACCCACCTCCTGTATTTCTCTCTCTTTTGCAGTATCAGCCAGCGATTGCGATTCGGAGCAGAATGCAGAGATCACATACTACACGCTTAGTCAAGATTTCATAATTTCAGCCCATGGCACCATATTCCCGGCAGGCCCTCTGGATTACGAGAGGCCCAACCACCTGTATGAATTCGTAGTGATGGCGGTGGATAAGGGCGAGGTGCCCCGCACCGGCACGGCCACCGTGCGTCTTCGTATGGCCAATGTCAACGACGAGCCTCCAGAGTTCTCCCAGCCTGTGTGAGTTCCTTATCACTGCCGCCGCTCCTCAGCCTCATTATGAAGGTAGAATGCGTCAAAAAGATTTGCATACGCAGGGTAAGAGTTGTGGAAGTGTACATAAGACTGTAAGCGTAATTTACATTTGCATACGCAAGAGAAGCTTTTGTAAAGGTGTAAATCGTGTTTCAAGCGCAAGAAAAAAATATTTGCAGCATTTTACTCTTACTCGTAAGTGTAATTCATGTATTGTGAAACTGCAGCTTCATGCTAACGCAAAATAAATATGATCTGCATGCTTCTGACTTCCATTTTTCCGCGCTTACACTTTTGGCACGTTTTTTTCACCAAAAGTTAAGTGTGTCTCTTGCCAAATTGGAACATGGTTTGTGTGTCGTATGTCCCCATACTTACTGCTGGTGCCATGTTGTGTATTGTGGGGGATGGGCAGAAGTTAAGTGTGTCTCTTGCCAAATTGGACCATGGTTTGTGTGTCGTATGTCCCCATACTTACGGCTGCTGTCATGTTGTGTATTGTGGGGGATGGGCAGAAGTTAAGTGTGTCTCTTGCCAAATTGGACCATGGTTTGTGTGTCGTATGTCCCCATACTTACGGCTGCTGTCATGTTGTGTATTGTGGGGGATGGGCAGAAGTTAAGTGTGTCTCTTGCCAAATTGGACCATGGTTTGTGTGTCGTATGTCCCCATACCTACTGCTGGTGCCATGTTGTGTATTGTGGGGGATGGGCAGAAGTTAATTGTGTCTCTTGCCAAATTGGACCATGGTTTGTGTGTCGTATGTCCCCATACTTACTGCTGCTGTCATGTTGTGTGTTGTGGGGGATGTGCAGAAGTTAAGTGTGTCTCTTGCCAAATTGGACCATGGTTTGTGTGTCGTATGTCCCCATACTTACTGCTGCTGTCATGTTGTGTATTGTGGGGGATGGGCAGAAGTTAAGTGTGTCTTTTGCCAAATTGGAACATGGTTTGTATGTCATATGTCCCCATACTTACTGCTGCTGTCATGTTGTGTATTGTGGGGGATGGGCAGCAGTTAAGCGTTTTTCATTCAAATTCTTGAATTTTCCCCCCTTATGAGCAACACACTTTTGTACACGATAAAAGCTCCTTGTGGTTTCTCGGTTTGTCCGATTTGAGCATCCATAAACAATGCAGAACACTGGCATTTTGAGTTTCTGCTAGTGATTTCTATGGAGAAAACTCACTTCCTGCCCTCCAGCTGCATTTCGCGCGTCATCAGAATCACGTGATTGCAAACAACCTATTGCACTCACAAAGGCGTCGGCGCGCGCTGTAGCCTGTATCTTTTCATATCAAAGCGCGAATGAAACTACGTGCATGCAATGTTGTGGTCAGTTAAGTCATGAAGTTACCAAAAAGGCGATTAAAGCTGCCTAAAAACTGTGCATGCTTGTAATATATTATAGATGAGTCACATGTAAGAACTCTGAAATGGGTTTCAAAACTGTCCTGGAGCAGCCCAGCACTGTCTCCCTCATCTAACACACCCAATTAAATGCGTCAGTTCATTATTGAGACTTTAAGACCTGAAGTGAGTCAGAAAATAATGCATGTCAGATCCACGTCACGTTCAGCAGCGACACCTCTTAAAGAAATAGCAGCCAAAACAACCTAATAACCAGCTGCTGTTATGTCTGTTCATCAAAGAAAAAAAAGAGGAAATTGATAACTTTTATAGCTTTAAGGATTTATCTCTATTTAATTTAGAGTTTAGAGTTTGATAACTTCAATTTCTGTATAATTCTGATGAAGGGCACAGGTAAATAATATTGATTACAAAGGGGTTATGTGAAGATTGTTTTAAGTTCACTTAAATTAGAAGTATTTTTTTTTAAGTCTAATAAATGTTCAAATCGATAGCTCTCAATTATACTGTAATGTTGAATGGCTATAGTCAATGGTTAAATATTAGGGGGAAAAAAACGAATTTTATAGAGACATCAGTAGTATCGGTATCAGTGATACTGGCCTTCAGTCATAAAAAAGATGCCATTAAAGAAATATACTGTCTTTATGTTGTTTGTACATTATTTTGAAGATTGAATGTGAAATTATTGCAATATAACAGTATATTTAAAAACTTTAATGTTAGGTGGGATTAATCACGATTAATCACAATTAATTTCAGAAAAAATTAGCAATTTAGGTTTTTTTAAATCGATTGACAGCACTAATATATATATATATATATATA